CTACATAAATAGTGCTTTTTAAAAATGTTTGGCAATGAAATAATAGCTGTGGGTTTGTTTCATTTTTTTTTTAAATTAACCTCTGGATTGTTAAGGGTCCAGAGAACCTTTGCACACCAGAGTTCTTATAAGGCCTAAAAATATTTGTTCTATCCTCTCAGAAAAGATTATACACAGAAGTTGCCCATTGTGTGCCATTAGTAAACAACAGTGGGCCATACCCTCACTCCACACAGTTTCCGAGAAGTCAATGGATTTATACCACTTTCAAAAGTAACAGAGCTCACCCCACATATCCTGGGCCAAATGAAGAAAACTGGAAGCAAGCATACATGATTAGGGCTGAGGAAAGTGGGGGTTGTACACTGGATACTGTCTATTTATCACTCTTTACAGTGTTTTTCTTCATCCAAAATTCCCTGTTGATTGCTATTTAAAAAAAAAAAATCAGCGTAGCTCAGGCAGTGATGATATTCTTCCCCATTTCTCAAAGACTTTGTTCTCGCTGTCAGGTCAGCTTGGGAACTGTGCAAGATGCTGGAATGGCCTGGGTCTTGCTTTCCAGTGCTGCAAACAAATACTCCAATTTATTAACGCTTCTGAGCTACGCTGCCTCCCCACTTCTTTCCCCCTCTATCTATTTTTTTTTCCAAAACTGAAAAGAAAACCCAAAAACTCCATAATAATAAATCATAACTGAAGTCTAAGGTGTTACTTCCAATTCACAGCTGCATCATTAAGAGTGAAAATGCACATCATATTTAGGAACAGAATTATATCCTGCCATGTTTAACTGAAAATCTTGGTGGGCTTTTCATCTATGTTATGCAAGCCTGAGGCCAGAGTGGAGACTGTCACAGCCAAAGAGACACAGACAGATAGATGATGGAGAGTGCAGACTGCGCACCCACACATAAAGCGCGTGAGAGGAAGGAGAGTGCACGGAAGGAATATTAATTGAGCTGAAAATAAGTATTCTCAATATCCCCCTGCCCCCTTAAAAAGTAGCCACAAGATGAGGACAGCTACAAACATGTTCATCTTGGGGAAACAGCCGTCCTTAACGTGACATGTAAGGCTATTACTTTAATAATGGGATTTGCACAGCGCACAACTGATAGGCTATGTTCAGAATAGAGCCCGTGAATCTAATTTTCTTCTCAATGAGTGTTACTGCAGTTGGTAACTCCACATTTCAATAGAGTTGCTCCAGATTTGTATTGGGGTGAGTGGAGAACTAGGCTCTACTGCGATATTTTTTAAATCCACAAGAATGTAATTCTCCTTACCCAGTCATAAAACCCATGGCTCTTTTGACGCTTTCTAGTTTCATGGAAAATTATTTAGAGAAGTTTGTCTTTAAAAGATTCTCATCAAAACAGTGAAATTACTGCTTTCTCTCACTTTTTGTGATAAACCATCAATTACTTGAATTTAACCTATTTTCAAGCTTGAGTCTATGAGCTGGTTTATTAGCACTGAACAATGAAAGAACAGTATGGGAATTGCAGAAAGTGATTTAAGTTTTACATCATTCATTTTTTTCTCCCATTATCTTTTTTAAATACTTTTCCGTTGCACATCCAGTAAAAGAAACTTACACTGACTGTATTTAATAACAGATATAAAAAAATCTTTAAGTATTACACAGATACACTTACAGACGCAAAAGTAAGGAAAGAAGGAAAATTTCTCAACTTGTTTTTAACTACAGAATCCCTTCTTTTCCATCATTTTGTGCACTCACTAGAAAATGATCAAAGTCTCTACAGATGTTGATCTTGATCTCTTCAACATTTGAAAAAAATATGCAAATGCCACCTCTCCCCCCAACCATGGCCAGCAAAAGGAGCTTTTTTTTATGTTACAAAAAAGGAAGTTGATGTGGTGGCTGAAATTGCCACAAACTCTTAATAAAGATTTCTTCTAGCTAAAGCATTCATTCAATAATTCAGTTAAACAACAGGTAATAAAAGATATTTCTGACCAGAACAATTGGTGATCTTTTTCCTACTCCATTGCTCCACTTTTAGTTTCTTCAGGTTGCATTTTACAATCATCCCAAGAGAAGTTTCCTATACGTGAGGTCCTGGCAAGCCCAAATTTCTAATACAGACAGTGCCATTTCTGGACAAGCACAATTCCAGGCTCTTTGCCATCAGGTCACCTTTGGAGTTCCTGCTGGGTGCCTAAAAATATTTAGTGACAAACTCATTCACTGACCTAACCAGAACAAAAACCAAGCCCAGATTTAACCAACTGGCTAAAATTAATTCAGAGTAGCATCCGTGGAGGTATAATTTACTATTAGAGAATCATAGAATCGTTTAGGTTAGAAAAGTCCCTGAAGATCATCAAGTTCAGCTGTTAACCCAGCACTGCCAAATCCGCTACGAGACCATGTCCCCAGCTGCCACATCTACACATCTTGTAATTACCTCCAGGGATGGTGACTCAACCATTTTCCTGGGCAGCCTGTTCCAATGCTCGACAACCCTTTCGATGAAGAAATTTTTCCTAATATCCAATCTAAACCCCTCCTGGCACAACTTGAAGCCATTCACAATTTGTAGCTCCTTACCTAGCAACAGACTATTGCTGTTGAATATTTTTAAAAGTTAAGTGAGAGGTATATTTGGACTGTGAACGACAGTAAACTAGTTCACCCATGACGGAATTACTGGCAGTTGGTTTGCAGCATCAATACATGACCAAGTGACCTACTAATATCATCATCCATATCTTTGAGTGTTTACTTAGGCAGAATACTACTCTGCAGGTAGTATTTTCAGCACTCCAGAACTGAAAGATTAAAAGGACAATTAAAATAAAAAAGAGAGAGAGTACAATATGGTAAAATCTCAATTTAGTGCTTACTGTTGTAGCCACTTCATAAAATGCATCCTAAACTCAATCTCAGATTACATTTACTGTGCTACAGAGCCCCCAAATTAACTTCTGAGTACTTGCAAACAGATCAGAAAAGAGTGGTGATGAACAACACTTTTTATATGCAATAAAAGAGTAACTGAAAGCACAAGCCCACAAAGTAAATAGGCAAAAAGGCAGCTTCCTCTAAATGAGAAAAATCGGCCTAATTAAATACATTTCTCTGTATTAAATTAGGCAGTGTATTTAAGGATGACTAGTTTAAACTCAATACATCCCTAGACAAAAAACTTTAAAACACACAAATATACTGAGATTGGCATTTCAACTGCATCGAAGTGTTCACTGAGTGGTGGCACCCAAGGACAACGAAAGAAATTGAGATGAGCCCAAAGCAAGCTGTTTGAGAAAACACTGCAAAAGTTAAAAAGGCAATAGAAGTTATTTGTAGGGTTTATGTGGGGTAGAAAGCTGCAGGTGAGATCAAACCACGTCTAGCTCCTGAACTAACAGAGGTCTCAGTACCCTAGTAAGAGCAATGAAAACATTCAGAGCCAAAGAAAAGCAGAATCAGCTAGCAAAGGTAATAGAGGCTTTGTAGTACTTTTTCCCCAAATAATTTCAAATCTCATTCCTTCTGGCTTCTTCTAAAGACATTGCCGGTTTTATCACCCGTTAAGTGGAGCTCTGAGGCCAAGTGGGGCTGCATCCAACACCTTCAAATCACCTTATGTGGCAGGGTGGCATGACAGGGACATGAGCTGGCTCAAAGGATGAGATTATTAAAATGGCACACCTAGACAAACACTGCTGATGACAGTGTTTCAAGTTGTGTGTGGGACTGACTTATTGAACAAGCTCTCAAAAAAATATAAGATGGAAACAAGAACCAAAAGCAAAACATCTTTTAAGCTAAGGAAATTGTTGTAAGCTTTCAACGTTTTCCTTCAAAAATCCTACAGCCTTCAGTGAAATCCTTGGAAAATCTCTTTGTGTTTATAAAATAGCATTCGATATCACAATCTAGAAACTTACAAACCAGTGCAACCAACCCTTTCCAAACTCTCTAAGGGCAAATAACAGCTGCATTTCCCATGCAATGGCTAATAAAAAAAATGCTGACTCTCGGTAATTTTAATTACAGAATAAAATAACATCTTAGTGAAAAATAGTAGAGGAACTATTATTTTAAAGTTTCAGGATTGCCCCTTCAACATGAGCCATAATAAGAGCAAAACAATCAGTACACAAACCAACACAACAGTTCCTTGGACGTAAAAAGACACAACAGCTTATCTGCTTCAACAAGTCCTTTTATCGCATCAGCAAAATAATTATTTTATGTATGTCATATTGTGCTTGTTATGTACACCTGAGACAATTTAAATTATTTATTTGATTATATGTGTAACCAAAAAAAAAAATGTTTTTCCATAACAGGACTTTGGTTTTACATGTCGAGCTATTTTCCGTACTTACTGCTATAATGTCGCTACTCTTAAAATACAGCATGATAAGATGTTGTCTGAGATAACTGTTTTGTCTGTGTCAGAGAATACTACACCTTAAGAATTTTAAATTAGCATAGTAATATGTTTTGGTAAGAGGAAAAAATGTTTTCATAGTTCTTATTCCAAACTGTTGCTTTAAATTTATGATCAACTTTGATCATTTCTCAAGGCAGAGAAATGCAGAAGCCTTAAAAATCCTTTTTAGGGCTAGAGGCCTAAAAGATCTGGAGCATTACATATTGCAGAGCAGAATATATCATATACCTAGAAATAAGGGGGGTTTTTTCAGAGGTTAAATAGCATGCAGCACAGAGAGAAGGCAAATCAACAGAAATCGCTTTGAAATATTGCAGAGTGACCTGCCAAGCTGTCTGATCAGCCCTGGAGTCAGTATTTATGACTGACAGAATCTCAAAGCATTTTAAATATTTCCACCAGGACTCCTATGTATTCATATCAGTGAGAATTAATACATGAATTAAGATTAAGCCAAATAGGCTAGCTTAATTATATGTGCCTACCGTTAACTTGGTTAGTATGGGATCACCAAAACCACATCAAAGCAAAAGAATCACCTGGACCTATGAAGAATTGAAATACCTGTTGGTTTATACATCTATCTGTGTTTCCAGCAACTGCGTCTGATGAGTAGAGTATTCCTGTAATGAGTTACAAGAAAAATCAGTGTTTATGGGCCTTGAGAAAAAATACCAGTTTGTTCCAATAATAAATCATATGGTCCCTAAGAATAATTTTAAAAAATGTTTTAAGCAGAAACAGTTTTGCTGTTATTCCTTTTATTGCAAAATCTTGTTCAGAAATCATTTTCTCATAATAAAGACTTTATAAGAAAGACAGTCACTGAAATTATAATTAAGCTCGAAAGACGGCTAATCATACATTAACATAGGTATAAGTCCTCAAAGCAACAGGTTTATAGGAAATTCAGAAAGTTAATTAAGAGCAGAAATTAGAGACACAGGATAACAAAAGAGTAAAGTCCTTGATTAAATAAATTGTTTTAAAAGCAACAACAACCTTGCAAGAGCTCTTCCAATATTTAAGATCTTCGTGCCTTGATTAAGGGCACAGAGACAGGTTTTTAAAGGGAGCCACGAGCAGACAACTTAATAACCCAGTTTCAAATCATCCTGCAAGACTTACTGAGCTCAGAGATTCTGCCCACACAGAGCTGAAAGATTTAGTATGTAAAAGCTACCTTCTGAAGGCAGTGGGAGATTGCCTCTCTCTTATCAGCTCCAGAGTGAACTCTAGCTCTCACTGTAACAATCTTTTACAGAAGATTCCTCGGCAGTGCACAGGATACGTGTAAGTGATTGCAGCATATTTAGATTCTCAAAGTGAAGATGTGAACATCAAATTAAAAAAGCACCTATTACTCTTTATCTGTGTAAGTCATTTTGCTAAATGGTGATATAAATGAAATGACATATACAATCTCACTTCTAACTTTTCTTTAAATAAGACATTCACCGGGTTAAATTAGCAGAGTTAGAGTTTGATAAATTGAAGCTGAACTATAAATGGGTGTTTTGGTGAGGGGAAAAGGTTTCTGCTTGTTCTAAATGTGTAAACGTTTAAAAATATTGCAATTTTAAATCCTGGAAAAGTGCCATCCAATATTCCAGACTGGCAACAGCACTTATTGCCTTTTTTATATGCTATTACAAAACTTTTTGATTTTAAGTACTAGCCTGACTATTCCTAAGAGTCTCCAATTAAAGATGTAACGATAGAAGATTACAGTAGTTTCTTTTTATGCCGTAAGTTCATTATTTCTATTTCCTGTTACACTCAAGTGTTTCATTTAAAGTTTTGAAACTTTGATGATCTCCACAGATGAAACCAAAAATAAATCCCATGTAAACTAACGTGACAGAGGAAACATCCCCAAGTCTATCAACAGCAGTAGATACCAGTTCTTCACAATACATGCATGATAAAGCGTAATGAGAAATCCCTGCTTAGTTATCATAAAAACAGGCTCCTTACCAAAATCTGTAGGGTACAGTCAAGTCCAAGTTGTTTTGTTCAACCACCACACCAACTGTTTTTTTCTTTTTAGTGACTTTTTTTTAAAAAAAAACTCTCATTTTGCCAGAGATAGATGGGGGAAAAACTCCCGAGAGCTTTTAGGCTTCATTAATTAAGGCTATCAGAGCTGTACTTCATCTAAGCAGTAAAAAACAGTTCAATCAAGAGTTATGTCCCAAGCTGTAGCTATTTGCCCTTCTCTCATTCTCTTCTTTCTCTCACCATTTCTTTCAGTAAATGAGACTAATTTTTCCAATAGCCTTTAACTCCCTAGATTAACTGACATGGAAAATGTGACTACAAACTCATAGCACTTTCTAGCCTCCAACCCAGCACAGAATCAACTTTGTTGTAAGTGTTGAAGGACACCTAGCAAGCTGCTACTTGCTAAGTTCATAACCCAGGAGTAAATATTCACAGAGATCAGGACTGCGCCATCTAGTTAGCTGCTCTGCCTGTTAGGAGCAGATGCCTCAGGGATGCAGGGCTTTAGCACTTGGGAATGTTCAGTTTCTTACAGATTCAATTGTGGCGGGTTTTTTTAATAAAATATCGCTACCGAGATAATCCACATCTAGTGGATATGGGAAAATTTAGGCTATAATAGCGCAGCAAACTTCTACATCCATCTTTGATTTACAAGATAAAAGCAACTTTTAAATTAAAGAGCCTTTCTGCTAATAGAGCTTATTATACCAGAGACAGGAATGATTTTCCTAGAAAGTTGTCCCTGTGTGCATGCCTATTATCTTTGCTTTCCCCCTTCCACTAATGAGCATTTATCTAAAGAGCCTGTTAATCCTCTGATGTGTGCTTCTGGTCAGAGGTAACAGTTTGAATAAAACCACTAATCACTTATCACTAATCACTGATCATTAATCACGCTTTTCCCTAGTGCTTTGTGACCTGTACAGCTCCCTTTAGGATTAAGGAGTCACAAATAAGGATTTTAGCCATTTTTTATAAAGAATTTTGAGCTTTTGATAGCAACAATCTCATTCACTACATGAAAGTTGCAAACTACCGAGCAAGGATTTTCACCACTGTACACTTTTAATACTGAAAATAAACCACACATTTATGGAAGCATAACTCCTTCAGCAAAATCCCCACAAATTATGCTATGTTTTTCATTCAGCTCTCACCTTCCACCTCTCAATTTTCTTTTAGTCCAGTTTCTAGATTATGTCTGCATGACAGTGTCTTACAAGAAAGTTTTCTGACACCACTGTTACTTGTCCAAACGGCCAGACAGGGGAAGCCTAGTGCACACCAGTGGGTGAGTATCCCTCCGAAAACTGCACATTCTCAAGGAAAGCCCAAAAAAGATGCTTCCTAGTAACTATTATGCTTCTATTCTAGCTTCAATTTCTTCTAGCTAAGCACTGTTTCTTACTGATAATATATGGAAATCTTCTAATCTTGCTGCTTAAGTCACTTCCCACATCATTCTGGATTTAAAAAAAAAAAAAAAAAGAACAAAAACCAAACAACATATGGACATTTCATTTTCCTTTATTCCTACCCCCATCTCTGAAACAACCTCTCTCTTTCCCATTGCAGAGCTAATATTGAGCCCTGGAGATGAAGGATCACTCACCATGCTTGGACATAAATAATAGAGGAGGCAGAGTTTAGCAAGTATTCCCTTTACACTCCTGTAGCTCTTATCGTCCTGAAAACTTCGCTGGGGGAAGAGAGACCCCTGTAAGAGAGGACAGTGGCGCGGGGACGTGGAGCTGGGGAGGGGGATGATGAGTGGAGCAGAGGGGCTGAGAAGGGTGACCGAGACTGCAGAGAGGGGACCTTGTCAGCACTCCTCCTTGCCCCGCACCCGACGGCATCAGAAAAGGAGCATCAGCCCCGCACCGGCCCGCAGCATGACGTAAGGGCCGGCAGCAGCCCGGCACCCGGGATGTCTCACGGGGAAGGCGGCCGCGCACCGCCCCGCGCACCGCTCCGCGGCCACCGACGGCGGGTCCCGGCCCTCTGGGGATCCCGGGCGCCACCGCGAAACTTGTCCAGAAGTTTGGGGACTGCGGGGAAAGGGGACGGCGGGGCAGTGCGCGCCGAGCTGTCACCGCCGGGTGCCGCCGGGACACGCGGGGGCTGGAGCCGTCCGGAGCCGTCCGGAGCCGTCCGTCCCGCCGCGGGCGCGGGGGCTCCGCGGCCCCTCCAACGGGAGCTGCCACCCGCCCGCTCCGCTCGGGGCAGCACGCAGCGGGGTGTTGCCTGCGCCCCGCGGCAGCCGCCGCATCCCACCCCAGCCCATCCCGGGAAGCAACACGCCGACTTCCCAAACTCCCCGAAGTGTGGGAGGGGAGTCCGGCTAACCCGCGGCTCGGCGACCCTGCGCTCCCGTCCCCCGCCGCCCTGCCTTGCTCTGCCCGACCCTCCGCGGGACTCGAGAGTCGCTCACGTCCCCTCTCCCCGAGCACGGCGGGGACGGGGGGGCGGCGGGATCCCCGCTGCCGGCAGCGGCGCGGCGGGGACTGGCGCTGCTGCCTCCGAAGCAGATGCGGTGGCGGAGGGAAGAGCCCCTGCAGCCGCAGGCTGCCCCTTCCCCAGCCGCGCACCCCGGCACTGCTGCTCCGCTCCGCTCCATGCGGAGTGCACTGCGGGGTGCGCCGCGCGCCGCGCCGGGCGCCTTCCCGGGGTAGCCCTGTATTTTTAGGAACTTACCGCCCGGCGCGGCGGGGACGGGACCGGCAGCGCGGCCGGAGGAACCACGTTGGACTGAGGGACGGTTACAATACGTTCTATTTAGAGAAGCATTACATCACCCTCCGTGACGTCACGTGGGATTCCTGAACTTCTAAATCATTGCGGTCCGTGCCGGGCGGGGGGGGGAGAGGGGCGACCAGGAGCGTGGGGCGGGGGCGCGGCCTCGGGCGGTCCCGCCCCGCCGGGCGCGGGGCGGGGCGGGGCGGGCGTGAGTCAGCCTGGAAACCGCGTCCCGCCCCCCGGGCAGCCGCGGTCGCGGGGTCTGGCACCGACGCCCGGAAAGGAAGGGGCGCAGCCGGGCCGGGCAGCGGGCAGCCAGGGGGAGCCGGATCCCGATCCCCGGCCATGCCGAGCTCCCACAGGCGCGGAGCCTCCGCCGAGCGGCAGCGGCGGGAGAGGCCCGCGCTTAGCCGGGACTCGACTCGTGCAGCCCCGAACTCTTTCGGCTTTTTTGCTTGGTTGGGTTTTTTATCTAGGAAATGTCTAGTAAGTAGCACAGTGTCCGAGAAGGAGGGAAAGCTCTTTCCAAAGCTTCAGCCTTGCGGATGTGCGCCGCTGTCCACCTGCTCAGGTGTGCCCGGTCCACGCGTGTCCGCCTGGCGGGTCTCGGTGCCGGGGCGGACGCAGGGGCTCTGGGGTAGCGCAGTCATAAAGAATCTTAAATTATAGAATTAACGTCTCACTGCTTCTTCAGCTCTTAAACATTCTGCATCGAATTGGCAGTGTGCCTGTGCCGTTGTCTGGGACGATTACCGGTGACAAAGTTATTATTCCACTCTGTAACTTCTTCAGTGCCTCCTTTTCTGGATTTTCTTGTTTTAAGAATACTCCCTTACTCTCAGCCTAATGCTCCTCAGCAGTGCCTCTAGCACCTGGGTCTGGAGGCTCCTTTGGCACCTGGCTGTCCACACCGCAATTATGCAGGAGGTGTTCGTATCAAAGATACACGTGACAACCGACTGTATTTAGCAGTCGATTCATGCCAGGAGGTATGACTTAATTCTGATGCAGTGTTTTAGCACCTAAGCCTGGGATATCTCATGAGGAAACCTCAGTGTTCCAAGGGTCTTAGAATCCGCAACATGTTGCTTGGTTTGGTTTTTGTCTGATATCCTCCATTAACAGAGGAGAGCGTAATTGAACATGTACTGCCAAAATCAGGAACTACTTTACAAATGGCAATAATACAGCACTTTACTCTCAATAATACCATTCTTTTGCAGGCTTATATTAGGTTGTCTAATAATCATCCTCAGCTTTTAACAATTCACTGGCACTTTATGCAGGATTTAAGCATGGAGAAGCGGATCCTATCAGTGACTGACGATAGGTTTTGAACTCATTTAACTACTTAGGATAAAGCTCAATGCTGCTGTCACCATAAACCTTCATTTTGTCAGGTATTTCCTTGGAAACTGCACACTGAGTGCAAACTGCCTTACCTCTAAATGTCCTGAAATTATAAACTACACAGATGACTAAATTAATAATTGCAGTTACTTCTGTCTCATAGGAAAGGTTTTAGCGTACACAAACACAGCAGTTTTTAAGGCCATGAAAAAAGATTTAAATGTGGGAAGCAGCTCTGCATCTCTCATTGAGATTTTCTCATACAATTTATATTCTCACACTTCTCACAGAGATGCAGCTGGGACTGTGGCTGATTGATGGGTTTTCTAGGATCACAGCAGGGTTTTTTCTCCAGGTTTCTCAATGAGACCAAAATATAAGTGGCAATGGAGAATTCAGATGCTAGTCGAGGATAACAGCACCCAAATGCCCCAGCTACCTGTGTAGTAAGACTCAGTTATGTCAAATTTGACAGAAGGAAATAAAATGCTAAGTGAAGTATTTGCTACAGTTTTTCTGCTTAGTGGTGATGCTTTCGTATGAATGATATTGTAGACCCTGTCTGACTTGTACACAGACTATAGTGAAAAAACAAGTGGCCTCACTTTGGGTGTTCACTGTAGGTTAATAAATTTTGTTTACAGCTCCTGAATTGAACCTTCTGCCCATCCTTCTGCCCTGTCCAGGGTGTTGTGCAAAAAAAAAAAAAAAAAAGAAGAATCCTAAAATCAAGATGAAAAGAACTGCCACTTTATTCAGATCAGTAACTTTACTTGCCACGTACATGTCTGGACAAGTCTCTACCACTTAAAGAGGCTGCTTGAGGCAGCAGTTTGTGTGTGTCTCCCCTGGGAGGGTGGTGACAAATGCTTGATAGGTGGTTACCTTGGTTTTCATTGACAGAAGAGCAAAGAGATTCTGGATTTCTGAAATGAGTCTCAGGTCCCAAGGAGAGACTATTGACTCTTGAAATGAGCTGTAGTCCTGGGGGTAGAATGAGTATCGAATAGTGTCAATGGTTCCTCTGAGGCTGAAATCTGCTGCAACACGTGTAACATATCATTGCTTTCCCCTATGCCCAGCTTCTGCTTCTCTTGCCACCCTCAGACCCTGTTGCTTTCCTCCCTCTTCCAGCTCTTTACTTCTCTATTTCCATTTTTCTCTTGCCTTTTACCAACCTTCTTTCTGTCTTAAGGCAACCACTCTGATCTCTGAATGGGGATGTGAGAAGGAGCAATGAGATGCAGCTTTGTTTTGTTCTACGCTCATTTCAGTGCCTGATGGTTAAGCAGTTCACAGAGAAGAAAATGTGTCCATGCCTCTGGCCTGAGGACGCTGAGCAGCGAAGAGACATTGAGAAAACATAATTTCCAAGTTTTTTCTTGATTTAAACTGTGGGATGATGATAGGACAAGAGAAGCTCCTCTGTCTGCAAAGTTGCTGCTTTCAGGTTAAGCTGATGTCTGCTTGTGTGTTGTCACTGTGAAGAACAACTCTTTAATATGAATTCCTATAAAGGTGGTTTGAATTAGCATATTCTACTTGGCAAATGTGGAATGTATGCAGAGTCAGTTACCGCAGCTCAGCTGACAAGTTGTAACTTGAGAACATGCTCTATCTGGGGGACAAATTCGAACAAATCTTAGAGGCTAATCAAAGGCACCTCCTCGAACGGCAAAATGATCATTCTGCAGAACTTCAGGTTCCTGCTGCAAAAGCGCTATATGTTCCCAACAGAAAAACCAAACAAATACTAACTTGTGAGTTATGGGTTAATGTCAGGCAAAGAAACTTCCTTTTTCTGGAATATTGCTTCTGGAATGATTGAATTTTGGAAGCAGCCTTTCAAAATAATCCTGCCTAGGGCAGGTACCTGGCATGGAAAACTCCATCCTGAATGGTTCAAAACTTGGCAATGTTTTTAGGCGATTGAAGAAAGTTATAATGAAAAGTACTGAGCAATCAACTACAAGGTACTACCTGTTTTTTCATAAACTAATTGAAAGGTAGAAAGTCATATGCTGCTTTTCTATTTTTATACTTAAACTTTTATACAGCTGCTTTCTTCTGATGGCAAAATCCCTACTTAAATACTTTTCTGTATTATATATTCTAAAAAATGTTTTCCAGGTATTTCTTTGTCAGTTTTTATTCTGTAAGTATAAAACCTCAAAAGAAGATCATACTCCTGACAGCAGTAGTTTAATCGGTATGAAAACTACTCCGACATTTGAAGTGAAATGAGTTAGAATGACATTTTGTTTGACTGATAGTAAACGACAGTAGTGCTGTTTCAGCAAACACCTAAAATCTTTGTCATACCATTAAAATCATTGGGAAGTAAAGATATTAAAATAATTATAGGAGTTTTGTATGTCAAATATCAGTCTCAGCAAGCCACTATTGCTGTCACATAAAATTAATAATTACTGCTGGTACAGTTGAATATTTTACATACCCATTCTTCCTCTAACATCATTACCACATGTTTAACTAAGCTGCTGCCAATGTTGAGTGTTACTCTCAGCTTTGGCACTTGCAATTATCTCGTTACAAGTACTTTTCAGCAATATCTTTTAGTCTAATCGAACAGTAATTTATTCACCTTCTTACATGCTACTAAAACTTCAGATCTCCCCATTTATCATGTGAAACTACCCACAAAAAAAGTTTAAAAAAAAGTAATTCAGCGCTCTTTTCTCTTCAGCAAAGATCTATACTAGTCACACAGAAGGGAAGACTTAGAAATAAAATGGTAAGGGGGAAAATTGATTTCTAGATCTTAACATACACTTTAATCCATGGTGATAGTAAAATGTATTTTAAAAGGGGATAAAAATTTTGCTATTCAATGTGTAATAATCCCAGTGATATCCTGAACCAATGTAATTTTAGTGTTTTTACGAAACGCTCCATTTCTTAATTATTACATCTTTGTTCAGATCTCTCCTTATTTTAGTAACACACTGAACAAGATATGAGCAAAGGGAACCAAGTATTCTCCATGGTTTCAGGAGCTCACTAGGAAGTACCAGATTAGTCTTAAAGCTGAGACAGAAACTGGAGAGTAAGTAGAGTTAACCAGAAGTTAAATAGTATTAAACATTAAAAAAACACATCTATAAGCTGAAATATAAGTGGTAAGCCATGTTCCTGTTCAACTGTATCATTTCTCAAATGGGCTGGAGAGGAAAGGAAGTCATCATAGGGATATGAAACAGTCCTGTGGGATACCAAGCAAGTCATATCTGCATTTCTTTGCTCTATGTACATCTCCTCACCCAGTCATCTGACAGTCTCACCTTTTCTTAATGACATTCGCGTCTTAAGCAGGACATAAAATAGAGGGATACAGGTCTCAGTAAGAGCTTTTTTGCAAAGTAAAAAAATGTTTTGCAAGAGAAGGCTTTTACATCCATCTGTAGTATCCATCTATCATGGATTTACATGGGAGCATATTTAGTCCAACAACAGTACTAATTGCCACAGTTCTATACTTTCTGGAAATAGAGATGTCTAATTTTACCTCCTAGTTTTTACAACAGCAAACTGAAATCTTAGTTCTCTCCAATTTCTGAATGATGTCCTAAACTGTGGCAGTCCTACAGATTATTTGTGCACTGAAAATGGATCTAATAGGGGATTCATGTTCTCTTTGACTGAGTTTA